TACTCTATTTAGGCCCCGTTCGGGAGGGATTAAAAGCCAATTAAAATTGAAAATATGGCCGTTATTGGGTCCCACTCGTCTAATAAAAGTCAACAATAACGGCTATATTTTCAATTTTAATCCGATTTTAATCTCTCCCATACAAGGCCTAAATGAGGACCACAATTTTCCAGGAACATCATTTATGTCTCCTTTACTTTTAGAATATCTTCTAAAGCCTCTTTATAATACTGTCTATTTTAGATAATCGATCTTTAAAATTATATTTAAAGAGACTCTTCAAATAAATATTTTAAAATAGAAAGTGACTTTGATTGTATGATTAAATGCAATTATGAAAATGCTCGATTTATTGAGCCAACCAGCTAAATAGGTATATTGCAAAGAAAATGGAGGAAGATAGTATAATAATTTGGAAGAAAGTTGGCGAAAATAAAAGATCGAAAAAATAACAATTATATGTTGAGAGTTGTAAAATTAAATGTTAAAGATGAAGAAACTTTTGGAATATTGAAAAAAAAAAAAAAAATTACTAAAAAGTCTTTTGGAGATGCTATCTATTTTTAAAGAACATATTTAACAAATTAAAGAGCATTTATAAATTTAGAGAATAAAAATTTTGTACTCCAACATGCTCTTTATCTTTTAACACTTAATTTTACTACTATAAAAAAATATTTATTATTTTTTCCTATATTATATTGTCAATTACTTCCCTCTAAATTATTATATTATTTTTTCATTGAAAATTGAAATATTTTTAATGTATTTAATTATAAAGAGTGAGTTTGACTATCGAAATTTAAAGAGCAAACTCACTCTCTATCATAAAATGTTAACGAGAATAGTCTTGAAACATAATTTTAAGCATTGACTACTTAAAATAGAAGGAATTTTATGCTTAGAGTTTGTGAAGATGATCTTATATGGTAATCTTGCTGATTCTACGACTGTAAGAATATGTGGCTCGTACTTGCACTAATTTGAAAAGAATAATGTTATTTATGAATAGTGTTTACCCTTCAACAACAGTGACGATGAATGTTACATATAACTCATTCGTTTTGAAAACTACGGTAAAATGTAATCAAGTCATAATAGTTGCTTTAAAAGTAGCTTAATCATTTCTAAATTGACCAAAAGAACTCATATTAAAACGTGTAAACTTATAAGCAAATTTTTAAAGGGTCGCAGAATAATTCACATAGAACTCCCAAAAAATTAAGTACTTTTCATCAAAATCAAACTTATCAGCATCTCCACTTTCTAGTTTCTTCCTCTGTACAAAGCAACCAACAAATGCAGACTGGGAAACAGAGATAAATAACCCTTTTACTTCTGTGCATTTTCAATGTTATATCCATATACCATATTATGGCCGTGTCTTCCTCTGTACAAAGCAACCAACAAATGCAGTAGACTGGGAAACAGAGATAAAAAAGCCTTTTACTTCTGTGCATTTTCAATGTTATATCCATATACCATATTATGGCAGTGTCTGGTGCGGCTTTTCTCTTCCATTTTTTTGCCATTTTTTGACCATTACTTTTGGCAGGTAGGTCCCACGTCACTCACAAGTGGTCAAAAAGGAAAGCCACTTTTGATACCAAAAGGGCAAAAAATCCCTTTTTTTCCAGGTGTAGTCCGCACCAGAAATATGCAATTAAAAGCTAAAAAAAGTGAAGATTTAACAGCAGAAATAGCTGGGAGGCAATTTCAACATAGCTTAGAGGCAAGCGAGAACATTAACAGCAGAAATTATAAAAGAAAACTCTTACCACCTTCAGTGTAACATCAGTCAATCTTGGTAATTTCAAAAATTGCGGAGCCTGATAAAATCAGGCTGTCACATTTTAAAACGCTATTCAGTCACTTGACATTACAAGTTATTTTCGTCAAAGAAAGAACAGGAATGGGATTTATCCAAGGTGGTCTTCTCATCGTCTGATATGCCCAAGGGCTTGAAGAGAGTGTTATAGAGGTACAGCAAAACCTGTAAAGGAGCAAAAAGAAAAAACATCACATTCACAAACCTCGAAAGCAACATCCAGCTTTCAAAAATCAAAAGAAATTCTATGATAGTTGGTATTTTCATAGAAAATGAATGGGTAAAAGGCGCTACTAACTACTAATATGTTGGCGGGTGTAAAGAGGACACTTGTGTTTGTCTCCCATTATTGGGAGACAAATAGAGTAATTAATAGTATTTTTTAGAGAATGTATGGTTAAAATTTAAAGTAACTTTATTGGTTTGTGCGTAGAATATTTTATTGGATGAATGTGAAAATCTTACTGTAGCAAACAATTTTTTAGAATAATGATTGACAAACATGGGCTTAGTCTCCTAAAAAAAACAAAAAAACACGCCTAAAATAATATCATAGAATTTGAATTTTGAATAATTAAATCAGCTGAATTTCCCTCCCCAGAACGCGCACGCAAAAAGAGGAAAAGAATCATTAGTGGCTGATTCATTGGATTTGAGCAGACATGATGTCATGGGATTTCACTTCTTTAACATGGTTTGTTCAATCCTCGTGCACGGCAAAATCTTATATTCTGCATTTAGAACCTGCTATGCTAGGGCTTTTTCTTTACTAGTCCCCTTCTTACAACACAAATGCATGCACAATTGTAACATCCTATTTAAGCTGACCAGTTGCAATGCAGTACAAACCAAATTCTAGATATGGCTAGTAGAACTCCCTCTATTCTTTTCAATATCTTGACACTCGATACTCACTCCCCCCACCCCCTCACCCTCTTTTTCCCCAAATGATCCATGAAGTCATGTCCAGAATGATTTTAATATGCCCGAGAATCTGCTTATATCCCCACCCCAATATTCAAATAAATACATAATTCTCTGCTACTATACTATGATGCAAATTCTAATTAACACAATGTCGCCCTTCTTCAATATATTAATCTTCGAAAAAGTCGAGTTATTAAAATCCAGATTAGGTGGTGTTGCTTCTGAGTTCCTATGATGCCAAAATGAAAGTTTTTTATTATGTTGTAAACAATGATATCGTTTCTAGCCCCATTTCTCTCACATTTGAAGACCTTCAACTTTACTCTCACATCAAAAAATCCTTGCCAATATTCACTTAACTTTTAACTCTCAGAGCTTAGTACAGAGCCCATTTAACCTTACATGGAGATTGGTCAAAACAAAATTCAAGTGTTATATAGTGATTGTGTGAACTCAAGAGATGAGTAATCATACATAAGAATAAACAAACTCAAGTCCCAGAATAAATATCCACCACAAACAATGTCATAATCCCTTCAATTCTTAAGCAGTTAAATGGAACAAGGCAAGTCATATATGATATAACCTTTATCAAATGAACAAGAAGTAAAACAGTTCGAGCTATCAAAAAATTATTAAAAAATTTCAAATAAAAGAAAATGAGTCAAGAAGTTGAGCATTAAACCAGTACAGCACTCTTAAGATTTCTCTAAATGCTCGCGAACATCTCAATATTGACAAATGCAACAACTAGTAAGTAATGAGGAAATCAGGCTCCAACGCATACCTTCAGAAAGACAACCCCATTGGCCAACCTTTGAAGATAGCATGGACTTTAGCAATACAGAGGCAGTCACCGAGTGCAGAGGCATCAATGACTCACCAGAACTCAGCTCCACCGGTAGCCTGAATATTCGAAAAACCCGTCTCAACCTTGCTTTACTATCAGTAGCAATTAGCGAATAACATAAAAATGAACGTAGAAAGTGAACCTGGATGAGAATAAGGAGCGGTGGCGAGGGGATACTCGAGAGGCCGGGGATGGAGTGGTGGGTGCGAGTCCACTGAGCTTCGATGGTCCCGTGGCAACGGAAGGCGATGATTGGATGCGATTCAAGAAGGTTTTTGCGGAAGAAGTGGATCGTTGAACGAATGTTCTAGCACAATTGGACGCCATTTTTGGCCTTTTTGTTCAAAAATTGGTTCTTGTTAAACCCTAGGGTATTAAGAGCTTGTTTGTAATAATCTCCTGGGAAGAATTGATTTTGAAGAGTAATATGATGGGAAATGTGTGGTTGAAAAAGAAAAAAATTATTGATGTGATGGAAAATATTATTTTATTGAAAAATGTGTGGTTGAAAATGAGAATTGATTTACTGTAAAAAATGAGAATCCCTACCAAATGGACCTGAACTAGAGATTCAGATGACCGATCGGCAACGGCGATTCAACAGACGGGTCGGTCACTCATGAGCCTGTCCACACTATAAGATAAGTGCAATAGACAAAATTATAACCAAAATATATTCTATTTCCAGAATACTACATGACTTTATTTATTACGAAATGCTAACACTTTTTGTTATGCTTTTTTTTTAAAACTAGTGTGGCAAGCGTGCGTTGCACGTTAATTGGATGATGTTAAAAATAAGTGTGTAACAAAATAAAGAATAAGTCTCGATATACAAATTATATTTACAAATTCGACATACAAATAGAAACCAATTTGAGAATTGTTATCAGATGCAATCCATTCACATGGTTTATATTTAAAAAAATATATAGTATCTTGATTCAACTTTGAGAATAGGAAAAATTGTATCCGGCATGCAACATTAATCTAATCTGACAAAATTGTTCACTAATTCAAAAAGGAAAATGACATTAAATATCAGCTCACCAGTGAATATGTATTTGAGAAGATGAAAAATTGTATTTGAGAAACTTTTGAAGATTGAGTAAAACACCAAAACAGATGAATCGCAGTTCAAAGGACGACATTAACTATAATTAGCACAGTGTCTCCGCGAGAAGCCGTGTCTCCGTGCGCGCGCACGGAGACACTACGTGCGCACGCTCGGAGACACGGCCTTGTGCTGTGTCTACATGCGCAGCCTTTTCACTAAGAAAGAGCACTTTATGAAGTTAATTTCCCGGCAACAACTTGTAGACTCATGCAAGTTAACATCAGATGATGAGATTTGCATATACTCACTAGCTTCTATATGTTTATACCCTACAGCACTGAATGCTTCAGTTGCTTTGACAAGTTCTTTCTGAAAATCCTGCATAAGGAAATATAGAGTTCGTCAGTTGAAAAGACGACAAATTCTTAAGAAAGGGAAATACTAACTTTTATCAATAATTATCACCAGGCTCGTACGACTTATAACCAAATTAAGATTGTATGAACATATCACAAGGAAGTTTGAACAAGAATCATTAACTTCAACAATTAGTTGTAAAATAGTTACCCCTTCCAAAGCGAGTAGACCGATACAAATTCTCCAATTGGTGATGCGTTTGCATCTCAATCTCATCAATAACCATAACCTCTGAGCTTTCATAGCCGCTCGCACTGAATTGCTTGATTACAGCCTACAATTCACACAACCCACACCAAGAATAACTAAAAAACTCGCAAATTCATAACAAATTTTAGGTTTTGTATATGACAATTTACCCTCATAATTAAAATCTATAGAGAAAGATGAAAAAGGAAATGGAACCTGTTGTTGTTTGGCGACTTGTTCTCTGAGTTTGAAGGCTTGCTTCCTCAAAGCATCCATTGCTCTGTGTCTACTCTCTTTGTGTGTGAAAATCTATTAACGTCAACAATGGATTTCGCTATAAAGGTATTGGGACAAACGTTGTCTCGATCTAAACCACGTTGTTGTCAGATCTAAACAAGGACAGAGTTTATCCAATCACCGAAATTTCCTCCTATCCCCTCATCTATCTATGCTTCATCTGGATCTTCCACCCATACAAGAGAATCCACCCCTAAGCTGACTGAAGCAACCTACAAAAAATCATGTTACGAAGAATTAATACCAAGGTCCAAAAACTCCATTCGTTGCTCATTGCAAACACGATAATTCGGCGTTGTGAATTAATGGTGATGTATTGAATGATGGGAGCAGTATGGATGAAGTCAATTGCGTGAGAAAATGGAGAGGGTGGGTAGTTACGGGAGAAGTAGGACGGCGTTGCTGGAAATTTGGAGGGTTTTTTTTTTTAATGGTGATTTTTGACAACGATAGGAAATGGCGACACGTGTAACATTTACTTGGGATATGACTTTTTCGATTATAAAATTTCGAAATTTTTTTGATATCATATTCCATATAAAATTTTCTAATAAAATGATGAAAATTACATTAAGAAATTTGTATCTCAAAAATAATAAATATTAATGAAATAATTGAATTCTTTTAAAGGAAATGCAAGTTAGATGTCTTTCTTTAATACTCACGTTTAACGCATCTTTAACTATTTTCGATATCTGTTTGAACTATTCGATATACCTATAATGTGGTCTTCGAAACGAGCTTTGAGATGATATAAGCGATTTGTAGATTCGACTACTGTACGATCCTCGGAGAATTTTTAAAGTTAGCATGTTATCTTTTGAACTATTCGATATACCTATAACATAGTTTTCGAAATAAGATTTGAGATGATATAAACAATTTGTAGATTCGATTAGCGTACCATCGTTAGAGAATTTTTAAAGTTAACATGTTATTGAAATTTTCGAAACACTAATTTTGAACGGGCTATTTTGACAAGTCGTAATATTTACTACGATTGATCGTTTCGTATGCCATTAACGACGTAGAAAAATAGACAGCGAGCATTTTGAAATAGTATTAAAAATGCAATATTTCGATTTCGTTTCACATCCCATAAAGACTTTGAAATTTGAAACAAAAACATAGAAAATTTAATGGTGAAATAAAAGGGGGAGCAAAGTTGGGGGGTCACGTGACCCTTCAGGCCACTCCTGCATCCGCCCATGCTTTTGCATATAACTCCGAGTGTAACAAAGTTTGATACACATGTTATGGATACATAACACCTGAAAACATATTATTTTGTGTTCACATTCGCTAGCACAACCACTACAATCACCTGACACAAACTTAGAGGTGTCAATCCGGGTGGTCCGGGTCGGGTCGGCCCGCCAACATGTGAGCCCGGTAACGGCCCGCGTGAAAAAAAGCCCGCCCGCTACGGGTTCCGGGCCGGTTACGGGTCGGCCCACAATTTTGGACTACAACCCAGGCCCGCCCGCTGACCCATCCGGGTCGAGCCCATGCGGGTCACGGGTCGCGCGGG